CCCGCGCGCCGCCGGGCGAGGTCGAGAGGTCCTCGGGGCGCCTGGGGGGGTAGAGGATCGGGGAGAGTGGGTGACCTGTTCTACCGGTCCGCGCGCGCGCATGCGTGCACATAAGCCCCGGTCGCAAGCCCGACCAGCCTCACCTTGTCCACGAGCTCCTCCCGCGACGGCGCCATCCCGAGCGCCCAGACGAGCAGGCCATGGGGCATGCCCGGCCAGCGGGCCGCCACCTCCTCCTGGACGCCCGCGACGGCTGGGCACTCGACCAGGAGGCGGCGCAGGCCATGGGCACGACCCCCGCACAGCGGGCGCCCGGCGGCGACCGCGGCGGGAAGGGGGGCGGCGAGGCCCCAGACCGCGCGCGGCATGTCCAGCGTCAGGCGCGCCACGCGCCATGCCCGGTGCAAGCGCCACATCGCGCGGCTCCACGGTGCCAATCGCATCTCCTGCGCCCACGGCCGCCGCAGCGGCAGCAGGTCGCCCAGCGAGACCACGCCGTCATCAGTGAGTTTGGCCACCTGCTCCGCGAACCACGCCGCTTCCCGCCGCCCCAGCACTGGGCCCGCGACGGCGCGAGCCCAGGCCCGCGCCACGCGCTTCCAGCCAGCGGGGGAAGCGGCCGACGCCCCTGCCCAGAGGGTAGAAGACGTTGGATTTAGCAACCCAGAGGCGGGCCGTTAAAATATTGCTTGGACGTTGTTTTGAACGTCCGACAGGTGGTTGGTTTTGGCCGTGAGATACAAGCGAGTGCAATATAGATGCGTTCGCACGGCACTCCTCGGCAACTGGCTACATGTCTAGCCTGTTGTGGGTGGGTCGCACTGTGGTTTCCGTGCTTGTGTTTTCTTTTTCGCCCGCTCCCTTGTGCGCTCGCGCTCATGGCGCGACGTGGCGCAATAGAGCGCAGCGTGTTCGGTTCCAATTCGGCGCCGGCCACCGCCTCGAGTGGCGCGATCCGATCGGCCGCAGGTTTTGGCTGCAGCAAACGCATTGAAGCATAAAAAAGGGGGGGGAGAGGAGGAGGAAGAAAACTAGGAGGAGGAGGGGGAGGAGGAGCGGAATGAGGAGGAGAAGGAGGAAGGAGGAAATGGCGGAGGAGGAAGCGATTGCGCAGGAAAATCGCATGGGCGGAGCATGAGGAGGCCAGTGGAAGAGAAAGGAAGGAGGAGAGGAAAGTGATAAGGGATGGGGGGGGGGGGGCACGAGGAGGATGACGAGAGGAAAAACAAGTAGGAGGATGAGGGTGGAGGAGAAGGGCGATGATGAGGAGGAGGAAGAGGAGATAAGGCGAGGAAGGGGATGCGAGGGGAAGGGGGGGGGGGGAGAAGGAGGAGGGGGGACAGGAGGAGGAGGAGGAGGAGGAGGGCACGGCCATAGGAAGGGAGGCAAGCGGACACGACGCGAGCAAGGGACAAGAGAAGAGGGCAAGCGGACACGAGGCGAAGGGGAGAGAGAGCCTACGACCGTCCACCGTCTGACCTGGATCGAAGCAGAGGGACGAGGGTGGGGGCGCGCCTGGCCGTTTGCCGAACGCGAGCGGCAGCAGCGCGTGGGAATGCAGCAAACCCCTGTCCTGCACCCTTCATACTATGGTAAACACTGTGCATGGTGTCAATGTAAAGAGCAAGAGAAAGCGCCTGCGACAAGGAAAGAGGACCACAGGGAAACACACAAACAACGTTCCTCGCAACTTCGACCCCATGGGGAAGGAAGGGTAGACGAGAACGCACATTACGTGCGAAGACGTCACAACAAATGATATGCATGAGAGTGTCCTGACACGGAGCTTGACAAAAGGGGCAGTCGGGAGTCGGCCCTCTAAGCCGACCCGAGGTGCACCAGGCGGTACTGACACTTTTAAGGCAGGAGGAGACAAGAAAGGAGGGGGCAACACCGGCTGCACGGAGCATGAAACGAAACACCTGGTCGACATCGGCCCTGGACGTTTCTGGGTTGAAATGCCGAAGTCTGTCAAACAAAAACTGGTGCGGAGAATATTTCCTACGCCTCAGAAGAGCCCTCTCAGCTTTATGTTGAAACCTCCGATCTCCAAAGACAGGCCCCCTGGGAATATGATTCATGAAGTCATTGTTCTGCCGCATCGAAATCGTGATGCTGTTCTTCCACCATTCATTCCATGCGTGCGTAATCTGGCACTCGTCTGAGAGGGCGAATTCAGACAAGCGCTTCACGGCCTGGTGGAAGGCGCTGGATGTTGTCGCAACCCGAAACATGGCAGCACGAGCGGCGCATTCAAATTCGCGAGCCCCGGGTTTGAAGCCGAGGGAGTCGAGGTTCCTAATGAGGTCAGACGGGATGGCGTTTCTCGGGCCATTGGAGAGAAGTTGGGGGGACTGGTGCTCGATGGACTTCGCAAAATCGGAGGGGAAGTAGAACTGGGAGACATGAGACAAGACGGAGAGGGCATACATGTTGCATCGGGCGACTGACTTCAGCAAGCCAAGCCCAAGCCCCTGGATGCTCCTTGTCCGTTCGATACATTTCGTGGCAGGGGCAATCCAACTCTCTTGTGCGCCACCAGGCCCGGCCACAACGCCCAGATACTTGGCGGCACGCTTGAAAATGAAACCTTCCTGCGAGATACCGTGCTGCTGGAGACGTTGACAGAATTCGGAGTAGGACATGGGGTGAATCACAACAATGACGGTCTGGGCTACATTTATATGGAGTCCAGCAGCACGGCCTGCGAGGTCCCACGCAGGCAACGCGAGCACTAAAGTGGCGAAGACGTCGGAGCTGGCGATGCCTGCGTCATCAGCGAAGACCCCCAAAGCGCCTAGCTGCGGGGGCAGGAGGCACTGCATGTACCGCAGGATCGGGTCGAACCCAAGACAGAACAGCGAACCTGACAGAGGACAGCCTTGCTTGATACCTCGGAGAGCCCAGAATCCAGCCTCTTGGAGCCCACAGAAGTTGATGCTAACCCATACGCGATGGTAAAGCTTACGCACAGTATCGACGATATACGTGGGGACTCCCATGGCTCCCAAGACCCACCAGATCATAGTATGGAGCAAGCTGGGAAAAGCGGCTCGAACATCGAAGAAGGCGAACCCCGCCCCCCTAAGACCCATTTGACAATACCATTGGAGAGCCCAAGATTCCAGGGTCAAAATGTTGTCGTTCATGTTCCGATTTTTGACGAAGCAACTGGACGCCAATCGCCGTTTCGCAACACAGGTCGGAGAAGGAGTAATTCAGAGTCCGAGAGATCAACTTATTGTCGCTATTGGAGAGAGAGAGAGAGAGAGAGAGAGAGAGAGATCGGCCTAGTTACTTCAGGCTTGCGGAAAACCCCAACCGACTGGTCATCGTCCTCCACGCCCTTGGCAAGGAAGATCGCTTGGCAGAAGTTGAAATCGGTAGAAAGAGCTCCACCCCGAAGAAGCGAAAGATACAGTGCGCGGAGCAGTCGAAGGCCTGTGGTTCCTGATTTGGTCCATCCCGAGTAAGGAATGCCGTCGGGGCCGGCTCCAGAATCTCGAACCTTGGAGGCCCTCTCGCAGAACTCGTCAAAACATATCTCCCATGGAATATGCCCAGGACATTGAACAACATAAGGCCTTAACTGCTCACGTGCATGTGCGGATCTGCGTCGACCTCCGCAATCTTGGCCTTGACATCGCTAGCTGCGAGCTGGTCCAGCCAGACATAGAAGCCAGACATGTCCTTCCAGACGAGGTCGGAGGCATCTATGAAGCGAGACAAGTAAGGGTATGCACGCATCGCCCTCCGAATTCGAGAAGGTGCCCCTGCTTGCATCGCGCGATGGGCAGCGAGCGTCCACGAGAGTTTCGCTGGCAACGAGTCCGCCTCTCTAGGCTCGAGCTCTTCTCGGACAAGCTTGGCAGCGGCACGGATAACATCTTTAAATTCACGAACAGCAAGAGCGGGATCGGGAGAGAGAGGAGGAACCATATCCAGAACTTGTTGAATCGCCCGAGGGAACACAGGATGACGACAAACCCAGGATGCAATCCGCGGAGTCCCCGAGCCCTGGAAGGGAGAGGGCGAGAGACAGACAGGAACATGGTCGGAGGGCCACTCCAAGTCGCACGCCGCGGCGAGCGTGAGCGAGTTGGCCTGTAGGTCGATCGGGGACGCGCTATACATGTTTGTGTAGATCCTATCGAGGCGAGCCACGGACTGGATAGACCGAACGTTGTCATGGATCTGCGCGCGCCTATGTGCGCATGCAGGCTGAGAAACTTCGGCGAGGCCAGGGAGAAGGCGAGCGAAATATCTTGCGAGCCCATGATTATGATAAGTATTCTCCCCACCAATATGCGCCCTCCCCTCCCCAAGAGCACAGAAATTGAAGTCGCCCAAGACGAAGAAGGTCCCAACAGAGGATGATAGGGCCCTCGGCTTGATGAAACGAAGTGTGTGTTGACGAGCGGAGATGGGAAGGCTGGGGTCGAGATGCGCACCGATGATCTGCTCAGTGCCATGCCGCCCTTGCAGCAATAGTTCGTGAACTCGGCCCCTCCGAAGAACGCGATGCTGAAAATGAGAGAAGAGCGTAGCAAAGTGAGGATGGATAATAATAACGCAACCACCTTTGATGCCGCGCGAAAGAAAGTGCCGCACGCGTGCAGGCCCTCGATCTCCTTTTTCAGATACATGAGGTCCTGCTGGGGCCCGTGTGTTTCCTGAAGAGCGATAATGGCGCGTTTCGAGATGAGGCGGCGAAGTTTCGACATCACGTTGACGATCGGCTGAATCGGCGACGAGACGGACCCGGAGAGAGTCTGCACATTCCACGTAACGGCAGAGAAGGACTGCATGAAATTGAAAGGCTGGTCAGGAAAAGAACAGGCACGGCAGGCAGATGACGGGCTGGGCGGGCAGGAGGAAGAGGATGAGGAACCACAATCAGAGGAGCTCTCGATGATCATTCCGCCCTCGTCGTCGCTGCTCAGTGGGTTACCGTTGACTTCGGGGGACTCTGCAGTCCTCGGTTCGGACAGGGGAACGTCCTATTCCATCGATGTAGCGACCATGGCCGTCGCGGCATCCGAGTCAATGCCGAACTTGGAGAGATTGTCGGGGAAGGCCTTGCACTCGAACTGGTTGCGGTCCGTGGAAATGAGCTCGAACAGCACGAACAAGCACTCGCCCACTCTCATGTACAGGATGCCCTTGAAGCCGTTGGAACCGATGGAGTAGTCCGCTTTCCACTTCCCGTCACGCTTCATGGCCTCGGCGATCGCCTGCCATAGCCTGCCCAGGTACTTGCTCCTAACGCGGATCCCGGCTGGGGCGTCGAACCTCACTCGCAGGTTGACAGTGGAGTTTGTGGCCTGGTCCTGGTACTGCATGCCTGCCGAGCGGCAGTGATCCACAAAGGCAGCAGCCGCTTTCTCATTGGCGAACTTGATGCTGTACGACTTGTTGAGGTTGTACCCTCGAATAGTGGCACCAGCAGTGTGATGAGATGGCAGAAGGCCAAGCAGGTGCTTGCCGTGCTCCTCGAGCATCGACCCCAGCATCGGAGAGACAAAGCCGCTGACCCATATCTTACACTGGTCTCGAGAGGAGGCATCAACTGCGTCGTCATGTCGACCGAATCGGGCAGGTCCTTCGGACCGAGCACGCTTGGCACCATTAGAAGCGTGCCCAAAGGAATGTACACTGCCTGCACTTGAGGTAGACGCAGTAGAGAGGCTGCTCACACGTGTCTCCAAGAGCTCGAGCTTCGCCAGAAACTGGCCCTCGGCGCTGGACGCCACGCCCTGGGCCTCGAGCTTGTCCAGCCGTTCGGCGATGGTCGCATTGTTGGCCGCCTGATCGACCAGCTGAGCTTTGATGGCAGGGGTCTCCGCGATGGCAGTGTTGATATCACCCAACTGCTCTGTGAAGCTGGCGTTCATGGAGCCCATCTTTAGCAGCAGCTCCTTGATGCCGCGCCCCATCGCCTCGGCCGCAGAGCCCGCCATGGCGCGAGGGCCGCGGGGAGAGAAGCGAGAGAGAGAGAGAGAGAGAGAGAGAGAGAGAGAGAGAGAGAGAGAGAGAGAGAGAGAGAGAAAGGTCCGCTCGGGCACGACACCCGAATTGCCCACTGAAGTGAGCTGCCCGCTCAGGTGCGATCTCCCCAATCACACTTGAGCCAAAATGGCAACGGAGGAGGAGGAGGAGGAGGAGGGGGAGGAGGAGGAGGGGGGAGCAGGAGGAGGAGCAGGAGGAGGAGGGGGGAGGGGCGGAAGAAGAGGCTGAGAATGCGGATAAGGAAGAGGAGGGGGGAACCCCAGGCGTTCGCAAGGTGGCAGCCGTATCGACCGACCGCTCCTCGGGTCGACCCTCCAATATGGCCTCCAAGACGGCTTAGATGGCCCCAAGATGCCCCCAAGACGGCCCAAGGTGCACCCAAGACGCCCTAAAATGGCCTCAAGATGGCCCACAACGGCCCAAGAGGATCCCAAGAGGCCTCCAAGACGGCCCAAGAGGCCTCCAAGAGGCCCCCCAGGAAGGCCCGAAGGGGCCAAGATCATTGATTATCCTTTGTGTTTGACTGATTTGGGTATTTGCGCCGTTCCGGCTTTCCGACGGCCCAAGACGGCCCAAGAGGCCCCCAAGGTCGCCCCAAGATCGCCCAAGAGGCCCCCGAGATGACCCCATGACGGTCCAAGAGGCCCCAAAGACGGCCCCAAGAGGGCCCCAAGACGGGCCGAGAGGCCTCCAAGACGCCCAAGATGGCCTCCAAGAGGGCCCCAAGTCGGCCCAGAGAAGCCCCCCCAATTGTGCGGCCAAGAGCGCGCTGGCAGAAAACACTGCGTCACACGCATGTCGCGAGCAATATCCTACATACGCTCACGGAAATATGCAATTTACGATTGCGACTCCTCTGAAAAAAAGGGAGTTGCACCAGAACGAGCAAACTGCGCATTGTGCGATGGCTCCGCGCCCGACTCCCACGAGATCGCTGGCGCTGCACCCGAATTGCAAACTATGCATTGTGCTATGGCCTGCGCAAACTGCGTCGGGAAATGCTCGGCACCTCGGAGAGCTTTGTGGCCATTGAGCAATCCACCTGACATGGTAAAATGTTTTTGGCACGTCGGAGTTCCTCCCACTGACGTCCCTTTCGGCTTCGAGCGAATCAGAACGTGGCTGTACTTATCTAGGCAAGTCAACAACAACTGCGTTGGTTTCGGCATCTCGTGTCCAAACGCTTTCTGGCAAGTGAGAACTGACTGCCCTCGGGTGCTCTTAATTGCAGCTGCGCAACATGCATACTTATAGAAATGGCTATTGAGAGGCTGTTGAATGATGAAATAACACAAACGTGTCGTCACGTAAAACATGATAGCACTGACCACCTGGTTCGTCTCATTTGCCATTTTGACAGAATCCCTATCCATGCGCCCTTCAACGTGGAGGTAACGGCCAGATACATACGTTCATGAACGCCCACGTGGCGCATTGGGGTGTCATCAGAACGGTACCACTTTTTCACGAGGCGAGTGACGAGCCAAAACGCAAACACCACTCCAACGACAAGAGTTATGTCCTCATCATCACATTGCCTGGTGGCTGCGTCGAATTCGTGGGCCGTGCCGCCCAGTGAACGGATCCAATAAGACGTTTCCCCCCAACCGCTGAACAATTCCACGGCCGCCAGATCCCTGCTCGAGGTCAGCGTCAAACACCGCGCTATTGTCGCAGATATGCGGCCGTGGAGCGCGCTGTAGCTTCTCTCTATCTCGGTAGCGAAGGCCTTCATATAGCTTGGGGGGGGGGGGGGGGTGAGGGCACGGGGGGCAGCCTGAATTTTGAACTGCCCGGGGGGCGGATCCCTAGGTTTCGCGCGCGCTGGCTGGAACAATGGTTCGGGTGGCGGTCTTTTGCGCCTAGCCATTCCGCCTGAGAAACCTCGGCCCTGAAATGGCAGCATGGTGGCGGCGCGGTAGGAGATAGGGCGGATGCCCTACTCTGTTCATGAGCAGGCTTGCCCCGCCATTTCGCAGATTCGTGGCCCTCCCCTCCCCCCCCCCCCCCCCCCCCCCCCCCCCCCCCCCCCCCCCCCCCCCCCCCCCCCCCCCCCCCCCCCCCCCCGCCCCCCCCCCCCCCCACCCCCCCCCCCCCCCCCCCCCCCCCTCCCCCCACCCCCCTCCCCCCTCCTCCTCCACATTCCCCCCCCCCTCCCCTCCCCCCCCGTCTCCAGGAACCAAACTGGGGCGCGCTAGGGGCGGCGGGGGAATTGGCGACGACGACGACGTCGACGTTCATGGCGGCAGCGGAGGAGTTGGCGGCGAGTAGGAGGAGCAGTGCCACTTGCCATTGTTCGTCGTCCTCAGTTTTCTAGTGTTATTATTTTTCTTCGGCCCTAACCCCCCTCTAACGCGGTTGAATGTTTTCATTGCGGAGGCCGCCGCGAGAGCCCTCGGACCCCTCCGGTTGCCGCCGCTGCCCAAGAGGGGGGGGGGGGGGGGGAAGGGGGGGGGGGGGGGGGGGGGTAGCAGAGTCTGAGCAGGATGAATGAAGGCGAAAAGGGCGATGAGGACGGAGAAAGGTAGGAGGGGCAAAAGGGCAAGTATAATGGAGCTCTTGGCGAACGCTGCCCCGATTACTGTTTACCCTTGGGCCTTAGGTCCCAAGAACATACGAACGCTGGTTTTCCTGCAAATCGTCTGAGTCAAACTGCAGCGAACCATGAATTATGCACGATGTTGCCGTGAAGACGCAACCGCTGAAAAATCCGCTTCTCCCATGCCCGCCTGTGCGAGTTCTCAGCTACGCTGCGGATGACTTTGTAAAGTGTTTCGTCGCGCCACGCCGAATGATGCCGAGGATTGCCGAACAAATTCATGTGTGCCGTGAGGTGTACAAAGAGATGATGTTGTGGCGTGAACATGCCATCTGCTCTGTCGTATGCTTTCAAATGTTTGACGCACAACGTTAACAACTTCTGATGTGTATGAGGCGGGATCTTTCGACCTGGCGGTGTCTTGAGCACGTTCATGTGTTCCACCAAATGCTTGCACGCATTGAACATATCCACGCAACTATCGGCCTGGAAAAACTGCTTGCTGCTGATATGGGCGATGAATTTGAGCAAATACCCTGTCTCCGCCCCCTTGGTGCGTATTTCAGAAGCAAACGCACTGCCGAGCATCCCTGGCGTCAGCCTGCCAATCCTACTAGACAGAAGGATGTTCTCCGATTCATAAAACTCCTGCAACTCATGTCTAAGAGTGCGGCAAGCGCGTTCCACCATGACCTCGCCAGGGCCAGGGTGGTGCCAGGGATTCGCTGTGATCACCGCCCACAACGCGACCGCCACCGCTCTCGCAGCCACGCCCTGGTGCAGCGTGTGAAGGGTGTCTATGCAGATAGACGTCTGGGGGCTTATCCCCAGCGACGCGTCGAATATTGGATTCCTCCGCGTCACTGGGTCCAGCAGCGCACCACCCGCATCCGTTCGGCGACGCCAGAACGTGACCCGGAACGGAAGCGCCCGGCGCGTCAGCAAGCCCACGTCAACCAGATCAGAGTTGGGGACGAGACGATCGCCAGCTCTGAGGAGCACCCCTCCCACGCGCACTTCCCTCTGGAGGACTCGGCCAAAGCGCCTGTCATAGCGCGGCCCTCCATCAGCGAACAATGCCTGCCACTTGTCCTGGGTATCCAAGACAAGGTCGATCTCGCAGGCACTGCACGCATCCTGGTAATCCCACCCGCCCTCTGGGCGTAGGTGGCTTAAAGAGTTTCCTCTTCCTTCTTCCCCCCGCCCCCTCCCCTGGACCTGGACAAGGGTTTCCGCGAGCCGTCCGAGCGTCCAAAACGGCTTCGGCGAGGAAGCCAACATCATTGGTTGTATTAAGGTTTTGGCCCCATGTTGGCCTCCTGGGGGGGACTGTAATTACCACCCCCCCTCCCGTGATCGATCTCACCCAAGATGGCCCAAAGATTGCCCCCCAAACTCCCAAGGGTGCCCCAAGAGGGCCCCAAGAGGTGGCCAGGAAGCCCCAAGATGCCCCCAGGATGCCCCCAAGAGGCTCCCAAAAGACCCTCACGAGTCCCCCAGAGACCCACCAGAGGCACCCAGAATGCTCCAAGAGGCCTCGGCGAGAATGCCAAATCATTGATTGTACGAAGGTTGTCGCAACATGTTGGCCTCTTGGGGGGGACACTGATTAAGAGATGACTCCACAAGCACCTGGGAGAGCCCAAGATGACTTCAAGACGGCTCCAGGTATCCCAAAATGTCTCATACTGGCTTCCTCTGCGTGCTGCCCACTTCCCTGATCGAGGCGATGCCTCTGGGCATCGTTTCTGGATGGGCTGGTCGGGATTCGCGAAGCGTCAACAATTCACTGGATCACCCCATGGAAGACCAACCAACGATATGTTGTTGTACTCATGCAAGGTGCATTGCACAGATGAGCACATGGGGCATGGATGGTACACAGAATTCCACGATGCGAATCCGAGCGTGGTTGCCCACTCAGCCCAGTCCCTTTTCAGTGGATTCACGCATGCCTTGTAGCCGAGATCAGCTGCAAGACTGCCCCAGACCTCAGAAGCCCCCCACTCTTTACCATTGGGTTTTACGGTCGGCCGAACCCCCTCCGCCATGGCTTTGATTGACCATCGGAGCATGGTGAACATACGGAATAAAGTACCCCACCCCTTGCATCCACAACCACACAGCGACGATGTTCTCACCACGCAAATGAGATGTCTCTTGCATGTGGTAAGATTGTACATCACGAAGCATATCAGGGACTCTTGATGGGCAGATGTTCTCTGTCTGGTGTATGACGCGCCGTCAACGTCAACCGCGAGAGGGGCAGGCAGCTTTTCATTGTTGCGCACAACTTGCTGAACTAAACGATGGTCCCGATACACG